GCTAACAACAGTTGCCAATAAACGTTTAAAAAAATCGATGCTTAAAATATTCACTTTAAGTAAAATTTCAACTGTTCATTAAAAGATTATTTACTCTGTGTTGATATCATAATGGACAGACAGTTCTTTGGAAACTTAAAACTCAACGTTGGATCTTCTTCGTTTATAAACTTGACGTATAATGTAGAATTTAGTAGATAGGTTGAATATCTTTGGAATGCAAATAACTCAATTTATCAAGGAAACAAGTACATTTAGGACTAACTCGTACTTAACTGTCTTGGTGCTTTACAACGGGATCTGTTGTTTGGGCGAGTAATGATTACGATGCGCTGGTGGGTAAAATATAAAACGGGTTCATCCAGTCAGTAATAACGTAGAACTTCGTACGTACGTACATCGCCAAACCACATTAGCACACGGAGACACAACTGTCGTTTCAAATGCCATAATAGTAGAGGTAGTGAATGTATGAGCAGGAATCGGAGAGATTAGAGTTCGAAAATATTATTCAGGAAGTATAACCAAGTTAAAAAGAGAAAGATGAAAATCACGAAGAGTTCATAAGACTAGAACTCCAGCAAAGAAATAGAATAGATACATCTGCGTCACTGTAAATGATTCCAAGCTACGTCGTTCAAGGTCACTAACCACCGACTACTATCATTTTATGGACCCCGACCAAGTAGTCTACATTTAACAACACGACTTAATCCACTTGTCAGTGACTGAATGGATTTTTGCCATGTTTCCGTTTGGCCACCCGCAGCTTTCTTCCAACCTACTTCTACACCGCAAAACATGGCTCGACGAGGCAGTCACTGATCGGGCTATACGTAGCACATGTCCAAACCCATCATAACCGATAACGATCCACTACTTTATCAACTGATTCGCCATCCTTACCTAGTACCCGTTTCCTAACAACAGCATTACTTACTCGACTGTCCCAGGATATACCAGCAATGGTTGGAAGATACAGAGGATCGAATACTAATATTCTGCGAATATATTCTACTCTTAACTGCTATGTTTCACAGCCATTGAGTTGGACGGAGAGAGTAGCCGCGCAGTGAGCCCGTCCTATCGAAGGATATCTCTCCTACGCCATAAGTGACGCAAGTTGGAAAAAGCCGGTCAAGCCTTCCGTATTCGTGCCCAGATTCAGCAGACAACAGGCCACCAGCACTAATGAGACTACTAAGATAGGTGAAGCGATTTTATTTCATTGTAGCTGCTACCTTGATGTGGTGGTCAGGTTTGCCTATCGTGATCACCTAACCGAGATATATTGGCTGAAACAAATGTCACTGTAGGTCCTAACTTGCCAGGCATGTTGATTGGAGAACAACGAGACTAAAAACAGCTACTCAAGGTCTGAGAGCAAAGTCTTACTGAGGACTTTGGAAGGATGTGACAGCAGTAAGGTGTTTCCTTCGGAGAACTAGTATCTGAAGCGATGTTGCCATCTCACAAGGAAAGGAGGGGTCAGAAAAGGTCAACCCTAAAAATGTCACACCTCACCTTACATCACGGATTTCCGTGATGTGACATCAAGCTTCCCTAGCTAAGACTCTGGAATCCCATGTCGTCAATGTGTGCTGCATCTCCGAAACGCGCACACAGGATCCGAGTAGGGTCATTTATTTGACCTCACTATATCGAAATAAAGAACCATCTCGATTAACGCTCTGTGTATATGGAAGCCCAACTGCTGTGTCTCGTAACCTCGCTGGTGTAGGTATAGCATTAAGTTCTAAAGCAGAAGTAACTCTGCATGGATCCCATAGGAGGTCAACTTGTGCGCTATCCGACTAAACGGGCTAATAAGGACTCGGAAAGATATGGGAAATCGCCGCTACCTCTTTGTCGTCTCCATATACGCTCAAACTGACTGCAGCTCAGATGAAAAATGCTCACTGTACTTAATATATAGTCGAAAAACCATACTTTATTTCTAATCGATGTACTGCAATCATTATTAAGAGGTTTAAACTATTAAGCTAGTCTCTTCAGTCAAGTTAGAGGGGCAAAAAAGTGAAACAAAGTAGATTCACTCATCGAATTGAAATTGCAGAATAGTAAGATGACACATTAACGTAATAACATGGTTGTCACTTTAAAAAGGGGGAGGTCTGAAAACCAAACCCTGTCACTCATACGTCAATTAAGAAAAAGCGTTGATTCTCATCAGTTAAGCTATAGACAAAAAGCACCTCGAATTTCTACGTTTAGTCGTGACTATCTACGATTTAAATACGATGATTAAACCAGCCATCCTATAATAGCTGTCGCCTTCAAGCAATGACTAGGTCAAGATACATTAAGTGAAAATCTATTCCCATAAGTTCTAAAACACAATTCCAGTTTGTTGGGGAACCATGAGCTTGCAGAAAATAAATAAACGTTTAAAGGGCGAAGTCTTACTGCTGACTATATGTGCGACAATAGTAAAGTGTTCTTTCCACTTAAACACGAAGGAAAGGTGAGAAGGGGTGGACAGCAAAAACATCAGAAATACAAGTATGCATGTGACGGATTGTGTATCTAGCTCTACGGACATTAAGAGGAATCTCGCTAATTAGGACAGCGATATTTCAACCTAACATATCACTTATTTTTTTACATTATTACCGGATAGGAGTTATATCATGACCAGCAGGCCATTCACCAAACACGACAGAGCCAACTCAATAGTTTCATTAAAAGAATCCTATTTATGCACTCAAAGAGAAGCTGCATTTGAGATCCACAGAACACATAATGTTCATGTAGTTCACAAGTGCATCAAAACTGAAACACTAAGGGGAAGATCCCATAGATATTGTTCAACAGAGGTAAATAAGTTATATAAAATGTTCCTTATCACAAAACACAATAAACTAAAACGACTCGATTAGAATAAAATGGGCCAACATGATAATTTACTGATTGGTAGTGTGAGTAATAACGAATAAGCTAATAATTTGAGCAAACAATAAGGTAACCTCCAGAAATAAAGGCTTTTGATCGCATTTAAAGTATTTAACATAAGAAAGGTTTATTTACCGAACGATGGTTATGTAGAAAAATTCGCACCCAAACTATTATAAAATTCAAAAACAATAAAGCCAAACCACACTAACCTGTGGCGCATTCAGTGAAATGCGCGCCTCTAATGTCCAATATCATTGTGATACTCGCAATTATGCTTCGTGATATGATATGGTAAATTCTCTCCACTGAGGATTTTCAAGTCAAACGGACTTAAATCTCTGTTCACAAAAACTATAGTTTAAATAAATTCATTTATATAATTCATTTATATAAATTCATTTATCTAAATCGATAATTCTCGTTATTGGAAAAATGTCTTGTTGATTTCTGTATTAGTGTAATATGAGAGAAGCGAGAATGGATGTCTCGAGAGAAGTATGAAAAATCATCCAAAAACTAATATGGGAATGAAGTTTAAAAGGAGAAGACAAGAGGAATTACTGCTAGAAAAGGCCGGTGCCGATAATTCTAATTTGAATGTGATACGAAAGTAGCG